GATGACAAATCGCGAGCTACTTGGCTGTACCTTCTCAAAGCTAAAAGTGATGTGGTCACTATTTTTCAAGAATTTTGTAGCATGATTCAGAATCAGTTCAAAACATGCATAAAGGTCTTACGCACTGATAATGGCACAGAATATTCCAATCAAACCTTCCAATCTTATTTGAGCAGCTTGGGAATTATTAATCAAACTTCGTGTGTAGATACACCTCAGCAGAATGGGGTGGCCGAACGAAAGAATCGACACCTTCTTGAGGTGACTCGAGCATTATTATTTTCTGGAAGCATGCCGAAGACTTATTGGAGCGATGCTGTTTTAACTAGCTGTTATATTATTAATCGACTTCCTAGTCGTGTTCTGGGTTACAAGACTCCTATGGAAATCCTTTACGGGCGCAAACTTAATATCTGGCATTTGAGAGTTTTTGGGTGTGTCTGTTATGTGCACTCTCGAAGTGGTGGTAAGCTTGACCCCCGCGCTAAGAAGTGTGTGTTTATGGGCTATTCATCAACAAAAAAGGGGTACAAGTGCTTTGATCCAACCACTAGGCGGATGTATATATCGCGTGATGTTACATTTGATGAATCAACTATGTTTTTTCATTCCAGGAGTCCAATTCAGGGGGAGTACAATGAGTTGACAGTTGAATTAGCTCCTATTCCCATGGTGGATGAGTTGAACAATGGCCCTGGAATTGGAAGTAACCCGCGAAATGAGCCCGAAGGAATAGATGAGACTGAAGAAGTAATCAGCAATAACAGCCCTGAATCAATGCCTACACCAAGGACAGCATCGGATGGGATAGCTACCGAATTGATTCCCACTGCTTCTGAACCTGTTCCTGCAGCTCCAGTTCCTGTTCGGAGATCTACCCGTGTGTCTAGACCCTCAACACGACTTCAAGACTTCACCACTTATCACACGGTACAGTATCCCATCCAGAATCACATTGGCTATGACAAGTTATCTTCTGGTTTTGTTGGTTTTTTATCTGTTCTTGAAGAGACCACAGAACCTAATAGTTTTGAGGAAGCTAGCAAGCAACTTGTATGGGTTGAAGCCATGAAAGATGAGTTACAAGCGCTTGACAAGAATAATACTTGGGATGTAGTTCGCTTGCCTAATGGAAAGCGCACTATTGGGTGTCGCTGGATTTATAAAGTTAAATATAATAGTGATGGCTCGGTAGAGAGCTACAAAGCCAGGTTGGTTGCTAAGGGATACACCCAGACTTATGGTATTGACTATAAGGAAACTTTTGCTCCTGTTGTAAAAATGAATACTGTCAGGGTTCTTATGTCAGTTGCAGTCAATTGTGGGTGGCCCTTATTTCAAATGGACGTGAAGAATGCATTCCTTCATGGTGATCTCGAAGAGGAAGTGTACATGGATCTTCCGCCTGGGCACCGCTTGCAAAGAGAAGAAGGGATGGTGTGTAGACTCAGGAAGTCTATATATGGACTCAAACAGTCCCCTCGGGCTTGGTATGGAAAACTTAGCACCTCGCTTCTTAAGTTTGGATATAAGCGGGGAGCAACAGATTCCTCTATGTTTACCAAGACTGATGAAAATGGTCTTGTGGTATTACTTGTATATGTCGACGATATTGTCATCACTGGGAGTAATCAGTCAGGGATTGATGTGCTCAAAACTCAGTTGCGCCAGGAGTTCGATATTAAAGATCTTGGACGGCTGAAATATTTCTTGGGCATTGAGGTGGCAAATTCTAGCAAAGGCTTGTTTCTTTCACAACGAAAATATGTTTTAGATCTATTGAAGGAGACTGGCAAGATAGGTGCAAAACCAGCTAGTGTTCCCATGGACTACAGCAAGAAAATGGTTTCGGATGACTTTCCTTTGCAGGATGTGGGTCAATTTCAACGTCTTGTCGGTAGACTAATCTACTTAACTATTACCAGACCTGATATTACTTATGCTGTTAGTTTCGTGAGTCAGTTCATGCAAAATCCTACACAAGGACATATGTGTTTAGTTGATTATCTGCTAAGGTACTTAAAGGCCACACCAGGGAGAGGTTTATTGATGAAGAACAATGGTCATACAGAAATAGTCGGATATACGGATGCAGATTGGGCTGGAAGCCCTCATGACCGAAAATCCACCTCTGGATTCTGTATGTTCGTAGGAGGTAATGTTGTCACATGGAAAAGTAAGAAACAATCTGTGGTTGCCCGGTCAAGTGCTGAAACAGAGTATCGAGCAATGGCATCTGCTACTAGTGAAATTGTTTGGCTACAACTGCTACTTCAAGAATTGGGTTGTAGGCCTTCAGATTCACCTACGAAATTATTTTGTGACAACCAAGCCGCTACTCACATTGCCTTGAACCCTGTGTTTCATGAAAGGACTAAACACATTGAGGTGGACTGCCATTTCGTACGGGAAAAGGTTCAAGACAAAACCATTGAGACAACTTATATCCAGAGTGGAGAACAATTGGCGGATGTGTTCACCAAAGCTCTTCCTAAGGGGCCATTTCAAGAGATAGTGAGCAAGTTGACCTCCGATGATATCTTTGCTCCAACTTGAGGGGGAGTGTTGGCGTGATTGGTGCTGGTTCTCTTTCTTTTGGGAAGAAATTATGTAGATTTGTTTGATTTCTGTAATTTTGGGAATTGTCTATTTTGGCTTTAGGTTTTCTCGTTGTCTTCCTTTCCTGTACTTCATCAATAAAAGGCAGTCCCTCTCTCAAAGACAAGATAACAAAAAAGAAAAACTTTGAGAGAGGATTACCCGAGGACGTAGGCACATTGCTGAACCTCGTTAAATCGTGTCTTCTTGTCTAATTTCTTCAGAAAGGACTACATTGAACATTTTTATATAGTTCCGAGACCAAATTGAACATGTACCAAAAGTTTGGGAATAATATTAAACAAATTAAAAATTCAGCAATGAGGGGATCTATGCTGAGAGCCAGGGAAAACCAGGTCAGCTTACAGCAGGTATGCTATTCCACATGGGCGAACCTCTTGTTCAAGCCCTTCAGGAACTGCTTTTTAGCTGCAAAACTACCCGGAGATTTAGCTCAGAGCATAGAGACGCTCAGAGTGACCAGGATGATGTTATGCCCAACTGGCCGAGCTGCATTTCTTAGAGGATCATGTCAGGCTTTGAAGAAAGAGATTTTTAGAAAGGCATGGAAAGTGAGAGGATTTAGATTTCACAACTTTCTCTCTTATTCCAAACCGAAGGATTACATGGCCTTATATAGGCATTGGGGAATACATGCTGGACGACAGTCCAGATAAGACAAAACATACTTAGAACGAGTACATTATTGGACTTCTGTCCGCATAAAACAAAACTCACATAAACTAAATACATTATTTGGCACACATTGAGTTAAAGTTTATGGATCAAAGCAAATTAAAAATTTATGGATCATATTGCATATTAGATCAAAGTTCATGGACTGTTTGTGTTATTTTCCCTTTTTATTACGAGGTCAAAATGAAAATCTGTTTTACCACAAAACCGACACCGTCTTTTACGAAGGTCAACAAAAGTAACCCCTCCCAAAACACGGTTTCTGCTGACCAAAAGAAAGGAAAGAAAAAAAACGCGGTTTCTTCACCGACCACCGATTACCGGCTCGTGACCGGGATTCTCCTGGCGGGGCCATACAGTGGGCAGGTTCGGTTCCGCCGAACCTCGCCCCCACCGCCTAGGTTCGTGGCCCGCTTCCCTCTATATATACCCACCCACCTCTCCCACTGTACCACGCACGCCTCGCCATCCGGTCCGACCCGACCCGACCCGACCAAATCCATTTGCCCCCTCTCGCTCTCTCGTCTCGTCTCTCGGAGATATTGCGCCGCCGTTCAAGGTAATACGACTGATGGCCTCTCGTTTTCAATCCTTCTCGGATTTCGAGCGCCCTTTTCGCGGGTTCGATCGCGCGTAAACTAGAGATTACAGTCGAATTCGAGTCTGCGCTTGCTGATCCCATGTTGACTCGCTTGGATCCGAGAGAAAGTTGAAGATGGATCGAGCTTTTCCCCGATTTTTTTTTTTGTTGACGTACGGATTCGTCCGTGCCGTTTGATTGTCTTGAAGTGCCGAGGGATTCTGTTTTTTTGGAGAGATTCGTAGCTTGTTTGCTTTGATCTGTGGCGAGCTCGCGCTGATTTGGGAGGAGGAGGAGGAGGATAATCGCGCTTTTGTATCAGCTCTCCTCGCGTTATGTACCGTTTGAGCTTGTTAGCTTCGTGTTTGTGAATATATTAGGGCTTTTGGAGGCTCTAGCGAGCGTCTGTGTTGCGGTTGCGGTCGATAACGGCATGGAGAGCTCAAACAGCGAGGATCACTTCGAGGTCGCGGCAAAATATGGTTATTGGGACGTTTTGAGGGTTTTAGTAGCAAAATTATAGGATGTTTGGTACTAGGTTTGGTCTTGTTTTCTTGCATGACGAAAATAGTTATGCGGAAGAACAATCTGGTCTTATGTTTGTTGGTGGAATTTGAGAAAAGGTTTGTTTTTTTTTTTGGATCCCAATGAAATGGTAAAACGAGGAAAGAAAAGGAGCTCGTGGGATGGGTATTGTGCTAGTTGTTTGGGTCTCTGGAAAGATAATATAATCACACAGCAGCTGTTCTTTTCTGCTGTATGCACTGATCTAGCTCTTGGCTAGTTGATCGCAAATGATCTGCTGATCTAGAGGGAGAGAAGGGATATGGGCTCCATGATCTGTTTAATATGGCTGTGGTTTGTTTATTCTATGACGCATCTGATGCCGAATTACTTCTGATTCTTTCTTTAACATTTGGTGAACAGATAGGGAGTTGCTAGAGGCAAGTTATTTCGAAGATGGCGCTTGTTTCAGGAGGAAGGTCGTCCACATTGAACCCAGATGCCCCTCTATTCATACCCGCCGCTGTTCGCCAAGTCGAGGATTTCTCCCCAGAATGGTGGCAGCTGGTTACGACCTCTACATGGTATCGTGATTACTGGCTCAGCGAACATCCTGAAGGGCTTTATGACAATGTGGACTTGGAGGATGAACCTCATGGTAGCTACGTGGCAGATTTGCTTCCAGATACCTTTGATCTCAATGCTGAAGATTTTTCCATCATGGAATCCCAGTTCGAGGAGTTCATCCAATTTGCTGAGTCTGAGGGGAACGAATTGTGTTTTCCACCATTCGATGGAACAAGCGGAAAAGGTATACTGCTAGATTCCTGGAAGTCCTTGTTGGGAGAATGTTCATTGTTTGTAACTTTTCTCATGATAACTCCATCTCTATCCTTTCAGTCAAAATAAGCTTATGCCCAGCGTCTAAAAAGTATAGGACCAAAGCAAGCGAAAAGATCTCTCCATCCTAATCTATATCAAAACTGATCACAAATCCAAGACTGGAATAGAAAAACTTCATTTGATGTAGATTTAAGGAGCTCTACAGCTTTTATGAGAAAGCCATACTTGCAGAAGAGGGCATACTTGCTTAAACTTGTTGGGTCTTCTTTGGTTATGTTGAACTCCTAACAAATAATGGTCTTTCTTCTTGTTTTCTCCGAATTAGCAGGCCTTCAAGATATTGCGCCAATGAAGCAGAATGCAGACTTGTTGAAGTCTTTGGACGTTGAACGCCAATGGACAAAGAAAGAACCGGCAAAATATGCGGAGAAGCCAGCCAAGAATGTGAATGCAAAATGCAGCCCCCGCTTCATCCAACAGCCTCGCTGAAGTTCCCTCTCAGGATAGTTCTTCAGAGTAGGCTTGCATCGCTACTGGGGTAGCTTTTTTTCCTGTTTCCTGTAGCTTCTTTCTGTAGAGCAAGGTCGCTTTATCTTGCCCTTGACCCTCTGCCATGTATTTTCCTTTCTTAACCAAAGGCACTTTGTGAAAATGTAAAAAAATCAAAGTGTACAATCAACTAGAAAAAGAAAAGAGAAATCTACTTGTTCAGCCTACCTTATTCGTGCATCTGTTTTCATATGTTTCATCGTACAGAGCTGTAGTTTCGCAAAGGGACGTTTCATAGTATTTTGGGACGGCCATTTTGACAACTTTGTTACTTCCAGCCGCGTTGTGATACCTCGCCATCTTCTCAACGTCAAATGAGTCGAGTATAGGATGATGAGGAAAACAGAATGTTCTAAGGATTATGCCACTGACTGGGTCCGATAGTGAACTAAGGTGACTGCTGATTGGATTTCGGAGAACATACCACCTTCCAATTCTGAACTTTTTATAACCGAGTCTCTTCGACAACTTTCCTCCGTACATCGATACCGTCAGCAGGAGACTCAAAAGGGTTACCTACCTCTACCTGTCATCTCTTCCCCAATTTTTCCATCGAGAATTACTAGATCGGACGTCATTGTCCTGAACCAAAGGGTCACCTACCTCCACAGGAATACTTTCGACATTAGCAGATTAAGATGCAACTAGAACTTACTTAGTTGAGTAAAAAATGGGACACTGGTTTAAGTGATGCTGCCTCAAGAAAAGGAAGATTTTCGCGCCGGCAAACCTCGTGAATAATTTCAAGAGATGCATCTTTATCAACCCCTTGAATAGAAAACCAGTTGTTACATTTAGTTTGAATCATTCTACAATCATCTAACAGCTGATTCTGACATCGTTGTAGCAGCAACAGTCCTCACACTGATTCATTTGCACCTCCCCTGCCTTCTGAATCCAAAATTGGTGTTTGAAAAAGCCGACAAAAAGCGGGAGCTCTGTCTGTGGGCACATGAACCAAGCGCTCGGCACAAAAAGGCTGCATTGTTCCCCATGGCCTATAAACCTCTGCCACAGACCTTAATGCTCAATTACATCGCCAAAAGGGCGTTCATGCTTCAAACAGAGACCTGAGAAAGCAAATCATCAGTCTCCTCTTGGAGTTCCTTCTCTCTCTTGGATTCAAGTTTGTTTTGGTTGCCAATGGCTTCAGATATAGCTTTCGGCAGCCAGAACCCAGGTCTTTCAAGGAAAGGAGCCCGATCTAGAACCAAAGGTTCTCGTAAAGTGACTTCGATGCCATTGTATGTCCACAATGACAGGGTTGCCTCACCCTTGAGACCTACAGAAAACCAACCGAGTCCAGCTATTGCAATGTCCAAACTATTCACATCCCAACTGGTCCCGGAAACTTTGATTTCCCTTTCCTCCCATTTGCCTAATTCAGAGGCTCTTTCTTTTCCAACTGGAGGCTAAGAAAAAAGAGAGAACTCAGAATCATTGTCACAAGAAACACTGAATTTAGTTTGGACAAATTTATATTGTCAGCGACCACGTGGACACCCATCACAACATTTGCCAACAATTCAGTTCTAAATTGGTCAAGCTTTTAAGTGCACGTTCCCATAAGAAAAGGAAACGTGACGGAACATTGAGACTCAGTAAGCTAAAATAAACTCTGAAGATGCGATTACATCCCAAATTTGAAATGTTCTTTCAGCTTCAAAACTCAAGGACACAGAGCAATATGTGGAGAGAAACCAAACAGCTAAGGACAAGCTCAGGCATTTTCAGCTACAATATGCTCATTACGACTGAGTAGGGAAACAAGTACGGAAATACACATTTACAGTATCAAACCAGAACAAGAATATATATAAGCCAAACTAGGAACTCCATTGTTTTGATTGATAAACGAGGAGCCCCATGTTACTTGTAGTAAAAAAATTGGCCAGGCACTTACCTGCAACCTTATGCCAACATTGTTTCTCCAAATCTCTTCAGCATTTTCAATTTTCCCTAAATGTAGAGAGACGCTTGGAGATGCCCAGATCGTGACATAAATTGTCTCTACAGAAGCTTGATTAAGGTCTAATCTCGTTAAGCCACCAACATGCACAGCCTGCTCAGCCTACAAAAGCACAAGGAAGAATTAGTTCCTATGGCACAACCGACTCAAGCATCCATTGTAGGAACGCACCTACACAAAGCTTAGAAATGCCCAACATCTGTGTATCGTGAAGGTCCCACATTATTAAAAGTCTATACAGGCACATATCCTCCAGCTTTCTGCCAGCGCCATCTATAATCCTTCCAGGGGAAGAGGAAAAAAAGGCCTTTTGTTAAACTGAAGACCTTTACTAGGCTGGTGAAACTGGTGACCACCTCATCTCAATAAGCATGTTTTTTGAGATCGTTTAATCACAACATTGGCTATAAAGAGACAGTTTATGCCCTTAAAAGGTAATCCTAGTGCAGAAAATCTTAAGCACGTCAAGTTCAACTCTTTACCCTGTAAGTCAGTGATAGAGGGGAATGTATCATGCCGTTTATCATGATATGGTATCACTATCGATGAAAAATTTATGTAAAAGAATTTGTTGGTAAGAAGCTTGCCTTCACTCTGTAAGTCCGAGGTTGTAGCTCTTTTCTTATTTCGATCATTTTCTGCTCATCCCTGTTCAGTCTCATAGACATCAAGTATGGATGAAGAAGCCCTGGCGTGTCGTACATCTTTGCCTTGGCTGACAGAATCCCTCCAATCCTCAAAATACCCAGTGTCGTCCCAGGAATGGGAGCTTCCGTCAGTTTCGTGATTTTTGCTCCTTCCTTCCTTGCCATAATATTAATTAGAGTAGATTTTCCAGCATTTTGTGCCCCAACTACCCACACATTTCCTCTTGGACCTGCCAGCTGCTTGATGAACGCCAACAAATTCCTCACTCCCAAATCCTTACGAGAACTGACCATATAAACTCCACTTAGCTTAGGTGCTCCTCCTGCCTTAGCACGGTGCCGGACCCAACTATCTAATCTTGGGGGCGAAATTTGAGAAGGGAGCAGATCCACCTTTGTAGCCACAAGAACAAGCTTGGGCAACTTCTTATTAAGCTTCGGGTCATTTTTAGTTCCTTCAATTGCCTCGAACAAGGTCTTTGCTGCTCTTTTCGGGAAAGACCCATCGAAATCGACACAATCAACCACCATAACCACAACAGTAGAATTTGCGTTTCCAGTGGGCTTCATCAAACGGGTGGTGATTAACCTATCGAAATCAAAATCGGGTATCAAGTTCTCAGCTGCTTGGTTTTTCACATGCCCGTAGTTCCTCAACGAATGGCATCGAGCGCACACCGTGACCTTCTCTATCTCCTTCCGAGCCTCTCTAGCCAATCTCTTCCTTTCGGCTTTCGACAACTTCTCCTTCTTCTTCTGCTGCTGCTGTCGCTCCACAATCTCCTCCGTGATGTTGCCATACCCAACTCCAGCGGGCGTGAAACCATCCAATTCCAAATCCTCCGAATCGCTTTCCTCCAAGAACTCCCCCTCCCATCCATCACTCTCCCAATCAAACTCGCCTCCCACCTCACCATCCATCCCCAATTGACCCTGGAAAACGTCCCCAAGCTCCCCGATTTCTTCTTCGAAATGGTCCTCCACGACACCATCACCACTCTCATCCTCATCTCCCGACGCTCCTCCCTCACCGACCTTCCGCTTCTGGTAATACCCAGGAAGGTCCGGGTCCTCGTCCTGCATGAAGACTCCGCACCCGGGACAAATCTGCCCGCGCTGCTCATCCTCGTCCCTCCCTTCGCTCAAAACCGGACCCCTAACGCTCTTCCTACGCGCGACGTTGCCCTCGCCTCTCTTGCTCGTCTCCACAGCCGAATGGTTTCTCGCAGCCGAGGTCACGAGCGCAAAGTTCCGGTCTTTGTTGTCACCTGAGCATAACAGCAGCGTTTCTTTATCTCCGACGGTCTCCATATCATCTTCTTCCCCTTCTTCTGCTTGTAATCAGTTGGAAATCGACAAAGGGTGTGCGGAAGAGAGTGGTACTTACTTGGGAAGAGACGAGCTTTCGTCCTTCTTGTTGTTGTCGCGGGGAATGCTCCGACGACGTTGCCGCCGAGAGCTCTGAGCGTGATTGTAATGGAAGAGAGAGGCGATGAGGGTAGCGCCGTCGCCATTTTCGTCGGGCCTCGGAGGCGATATAGCTCGGCGCCGCTGATACAGAGCGTGTGACTTCGTTGATGATTTCTCATTTTTATTTATTTATTCACCTTTTATTATTGAAAATCTCGCTTTTTTTCTTTTTTAGATGTAGATGAAATGTCGATTTTTCCCGTTAATTTTCCCATTAATTTGTTTATTTTCTTTCGTAATTTGAATCGACAAAACGGATCTGACCAAAAAAAAAAAATCGACGAAACGGCTTGTACTTTCTCTTTGTTCTACGGTATTATTTTTTGTTAATTATAAATAAATTAAGAGTTACAATTCACGAAATTTTAATTCTTGATCCTAATTTGATTGTTCTTGCCTATGGAGCAATTTAACAAATAAAGCATCGTGCTAAGCACATTATTAAGCGATAAAAAATAAGATAGTATGGGTGCGGAGCCTTTTAAAATACTTTTTTACACCAATTTCATTTTTAAAATACTGTCTCCAAATTTATAGGCAAGTTATGTGACTGATTTTCTGTGGTTTTGAAAATATCTTAAACTAATGCTCTGTATGGGAAAAGGAGAGAGGAGGAGGGAATGATAGTAATGGCTGGATTAGAGAATTTTCTGTGAGAATAATTAACTAATTTTCTTCCAAATTTTCAATCCTCCTCATTTATCTAGTTTCCAAAAACGAAATAAATATCAACAGATTTTCAAAATGCTTTTCCGAAACGAAAGAAGTTTTACTATGCAATTATTTTGAATCTCAACAAATGTCTGATGACACCGATCGGAAGAGTTTAAAAGAAAATAAGAATAATGGCATTGGAGTCTATGAATTTTTTCTAGTCATGCAATGTTGTCTAAAGCAAACGGATCGTTGAACTGTACATTTATTCGTTTATATTGGTCTCCCCGTTTAAACATTCAACGGACATGGCGACAAAACCGTAAAGTGCCATGCGGGCGCTCATGTGGCATTGACATGGCATCCATGATGTGGTCGACAAAAAAAAACTTAGAAACGAAATTGTGAACTCTAAAGAACGGGGTGGGGGCGGTGGGCGGTGGCTGGCTGGTGCCTAGCTGCCAGTGAGGGTCACTGCCTCACTGGACCCGAACCGATGGCTGGGCGGCACCGCCGCACCTGATCGCCCCGTTGGCCTTCCCCTCTCTCTCGGATTGCAATTTTTTTTTTCTAATTTGTTATGTCTCTGATGGTCGTGTAGGCACCACGCAGGCGCTCACGAGGCACTTAACGGCCACGTCATTCGAATCTTTCTGATGGAGGGACGAAGGTGAATAAACAAACTTATATAGTTCAGGGATTTGATTGCAAAGAGAAGAAAGGTCTAGGGGCGACATTACAAAAACCGGAAAAATCCAGGACGTCCCACGCCATTATTCAAAGTAAATAGAGCAAAACATCGCGCGGAGAGCGTCCGAAATTTATCATTTTCCCGCCTTATAAAAATTGCTTGCTCGATACACCTGCGAGCGAAGTCCAAACGAACGATCCCCAACGCCGGAAAACTCCAGAAGCTCCCGTTCGCACCTCCCATGGCGACGCCGCCGACCGGAATTTCGTCTCCTTCCTCTCCAATCGCCATCGGTGAACCATCTGGAACCTCGACCGCTCCGCCATCGCTCTCACGTTTTTCTGTTTTTGACTTCTCCGGCGATGATTCCCCGGCGTCGATCGAACTGAGGTTTTTCCTGTGTGGTTTTCCTCGCAGGCAACTGCGAAGTGACGATCGAGTCCAAGAAGTTCGCGCTGGAATCCGACTCGAAATGCCTCGGCATATCCGTCTCCAGAAAGGCGCAGATCAAGATCGCAGGTACCGATGAATCGCAGGAGGTCCTGCGTGTGCGTCGCGTCTCTGTTCGTGCGTGGTTGCTTCGTTTTTTTTTGTTCTCTCTCGGGTGCGATCGTGTCCACGTCTGAACGCCGCACCTAGTTAGTTACCTTCTAACGTTCGCTGATTATTGTTGTACACGCTCGTTTTGAATGGATTTTGGTAGTGAAAGGAGATGTGAGTAGGAGCAGCAACGATGGAAATAGGCTCGCAGAATGTAAAGGTGAACTAGCACCGTCCCCTTTTCATAAGCTCGGTTAGGCGTAACCGGCTCATCTGACGTTTTTTTTTGCTTTTCTGAACATGTTTTGGCTCAGGCGAGGAGCTCGCATTCTCGGGCGACGAGTACTATTTTGTCTTGGTTAGTCCGAAAGATGCCGATTCCCGTTGCAGATCGCTGATTCAGGTCTCTTCTTTTTTCTCTGGCCTCTGTGTCATCATACCATATCCATTATCTGGGTGCTGTTTCTTTCGATTCCTTGTTTAGCATATCTGATCATATGGTTTTTGATCAGTTTTCAGCAGCACTATATTGATCAGTCCTGTTGGATCATTTCACTAGACCTAATTAAGAGCATACCTGCATGCAGGAAGTGCTAAAATTGTATTCGAACGAGCTACCTGCAATGAATTATGCTGCTAATACGGGGAAGGAGTCGATGTTCCTCGAACGATGCGTCGCCAATGGGTATGGTGCTTTTCCTTTTCTGTTTCTTGATGTCATTCTGACCATATCCAAATTTGGTGGTTTTCCATTCTTTATTCACATTAAAATTTCAGATACTGCACTTTGTTTTGAACTGATTACTCTTCTGTTTTTAATTCTGGGGCTTTCAATGAACTACTACCATCAGTTTTGACTGTATCTTGGTATTTATTGCAGAAAATACCGCACACTGCTTTTGAAAAGAAAGTCTCCGGAAGGTCTTGAGGAGGTAGTCATAGTATTTACCTTCTCTTTAAAAAAAATTATTTTTCCACCCTGCGCGATGCCATGGCGTCCTGCTAAGATTTTACCTGGAGCTGCAGCACTTGTATGCAATAGTGGTTGATTTGGTTTCCATGTGGAGTTGGCACTTGGCACCAAATTTGTGGGTCATGCAATAGTAATATGGACATAATAATGGCCTAATCCTGATCTATATGGCCAAGCAACAGTGGATCATATGGTAAATGGGCAACCATCTGACTGTTAGCCATTCCATTTATCAGCCTTATGCTAATATTCTTCCACACCACTTGCTGCTCAGCAGAAACCAGACTGCTATGGAAGAAAATGTCTTAGGTTTCTATAGATATTCATACTTTTGGAAGCCATATTTTGCAAAAGTAATCTGCCTGCTGGAAATTCTTGAGATTCACGCTCAAAGTCTGGTATCCAGAGAATGCTCCAGCCATTTCTCACATGCAGTGCAACCAGTAGTGATGCTTTGTTCCCTAAATTACAGCTTTAGATCACAGTCATTGGATTGATGCAAATGTTCTACCTGAAAGGCCCATCTACTGTGCATCATGATAGACTCTGCAACTGCGTCATTCGTGTCATGAACTCATTTATTCTAACAAATCATTATAATTGGGTACGGTGCTCCACCAGTGCATTGCATGAGTATTTTGCAAATCAATATTAGGATAAAATGACTTTCTGAAGTATACAAGGTCATTAATCATCATTCCACCCTTCCCATTCTTCTATATATATATAGGGGAGGGGTCTATGGACACCATAACCTCGCTGTAAACCCCTAGGCAGTGTACAACCTTAAGAATCTTCAGGTTGGCAGATGCCTCTCAGTCATTGTTGATTGATTTTGTTCTGATGATGATCAACAATCTTTGAGACAAAATGAAGTTTATCTTTGATAGTGCTATATTATACTTCTTGCTTGTGCCAATGCATTCAACAGTTTGACGAAGAAATGAGATGCCCAGAGACACAAAATTTACTTGGCTGTACGAATTAATAACTACTCTCATCTCATTCACGCAGGTTTTGGCTGCAATTACTTATCAAATAGTGCCTGTTGACACACATTATGCTGAGATTCCTCTCGCTGCTGTTAGTGCAATTTACCAGCATAAGGTTAATTTTTAGCTCATTTTTGTCTTATTGCCTCAATTTTTTAAACGTAGCTTGACATGGGGGATGCTGTCACTCTGGTCCTGTCTCCTGTTCTTTCACTAAATGTAGTGCTTCTTATGACCTCAAACATAGTTTCTTTATTTCTGGACTGTGCTAAACTCAAGAGCCAACACATTTCACAATTATGAGAGCTAGTCAAAGCGACGCGTGATAAATTAGTCCTTAATGCTAGAAAGATAGAATTTTTCGTTGATATTCATGATTATGTGAAGTAATTTCAAGTGTATATCCAGAAATTAGCATTTTGTTCCTTATAAACCATTTTCGCTCAATTTAGGCTAGCTCTTCATAAATAAATTGCCATTTAAGGACAAAAAGGAAAGCTTAAGAAATTATGACAATGCCCTTTCTCCTTGTAATGCCATCTCTTATTGTTTATGCTATTGCCATATGCTCGTAATCTCTACAGACAAACACATTGTAAAATTTGGACAACTGCATATTTCTATTCAGGATAAATTATATAAGCAGCATCTAACATCTCGAGCTAAATTATTGTTAATAGAGCTGATCTTGAAGGTCTGTCTTTACTTATTACTTACTTTTCCCCCTTTTTTCAGGGCATAGGCCGCCTCTTGTTCATGGAACTGAGAAATAGACTTCAGAGTGTTGGTATCTGCACGATATTTTGCTGGGGAGACAAGGAATCTGAAGAGTTTTGGTTCAAGATGGTAATTTTGAAACTTTTTTCCTAACGGTACTGAAGAGCATTACATGGTCGTGTTAGTTCATTTTTTCCCTCCATTTCCCAATTTTGTTATCTGGCCTATATGCTGTGTTCAATTAGTCATTACGTCAAAGAAATCTCCTCTAAGTATCTATATTCTCCAAATTATTTTGTTTCAAAGATGTTAGATAGGAATTGTGTAGTTCTGACCATTAGATTTCTTTCTGATAGTTGATCAATGCCGCAGGGCTTTGTATCAGTTGCGGAGGTTGACAGCAAGGGTAGAGCTCGCAGGCTTCCAGTCAGGGCTGACATTCGAAAAGGATTATGCTTTCCAGGTGGTTCAACCCTCATGGTTTCTCATCTTAGCAAGGATATTTCAGTTGATCCTTCAGATTCACTGAAGTTGTCTATGAGGCAAAGCAAGATGTTCT